AGTCTCAACATTCGATCTATCTCTGCTGTATCTGAAAAAAACATGGTAGGTGAATTGATATGGTTGATACAGTTGTTCGTTCCCAAACTTGCCGAAGCTGTTACTACGATAACATTTTCTTAATTAAGAGAAGTTGCTTCTTAAAGCATGCTTCGTTAATAATAACCAGGAATAGTCTAACACTAAGTGGAAGTTCATAATAGGTGATATAATTCGGCGGCTCAAAGCTTCGGATTATTTTAAGGTGAAAGTTTCAACTTACAGTAAGCAAAAAACTCTAGACAGCTTCTTTCGCTTAAAAAAATTTGCTTTTTTTACTTCTTAAAGTAAGACTTTAATCTGCTAGAAAAGTCGCATGTTTGCTCGCCTGCCTGAGATTTTTGATTATTTATGTTTACATTTAGCAAAGCTTTGGACAACTTACTTCTGTTGCACTTTTATACGAGAGCTAGTAATGGAGGTGTTTTCTTTATGCTTTTTAAATGGTGCATCTTAAACATTTACAAGTTGCGAAGAAAAGTTGGGACTCTGTTCTCAAATGGTCAAAAGCTTCTCCTGCGAATTTAGCGAAGCTTGCCAGCTGAATGAAGAGCTAGTAAGATTGAAAGGCTTGACTAGATGTTGTATGAATTCACGCAGCGGATTTGACAAGCTTTTTAAAGTTTAACAATTTCAAAACGTAGATTGGGTATTAACTTTTGTTATCAAGTAGCTTCTGCTAATCATCGGCCTTATAATAATATTTCATCATGTTGGACCTAGTCATGCCCTTATTTGCAGCTTCCGCTGCAGTAGTATCTGTTGAGAATTTATTACTGCGCTACAGTAGCAGCATATCCACATGTTCCTGTCTCCCTTCACTAATGCTGATTTCTCATTCACTACAAGAAACAAGCTCATCCCGCAATTCATGATGGAAAAAAATGAAAGGGAACATTTTTTTCAAAGAAAAATACGCTTGGTGGAACTGAAATCTTCACATGAGTTTTATCACGGAAAATCATTTGACCGCATCAAGCTGGCAGTGGTAAGAGCCAATCTGTACTTTTTCAACAAAAATAACTGCAAAATGATGCTAAAAAGAGTAAACTAAAATGAAACTTCTTTTTCAAGAAGAAGCGGATCATTTCCAAGTGAATGCAAGTAATATTTAAATTTTTTTGAATCAAAAAATCGAAATTTCCAAGGAATTGAACATCTTATGGTGTCTTAGGGTTAAGCAAAAATTGGACTTACATCTTAGGATTTTTAAAAAAGTTATAAACACAAAGTTTTCTTTTTCCCATACATATATTTCCAGAGATCTTTGGCCCACGGGAAAAAATATTAGACATTCTTTTAAATTAGTGATCATCGAAGAAAATGGACACGATGGTAGATCAGTGCTGGCTGATTTTCTTGTTCGCCCACGAAATGATAGCGTTATGGCCACCATGACAACAGATATTTGAATTTGCAGGAATTCGTTGCGCAATTTCGGTTTCGCCAAGAGTGGTTTGACGATCGTCTTCGGTTTATGGACCATCAGGTTTGTTAAGGTTTGGATTGATTATGACGATGTCTCAAAAGCAACACCTTAGGGTCCTCTTTCGCCGGAATATCGGAACTTTGAATTTATTCATGTAGCCAGAGATCAACGTCTATGGATTCCTGACACATTTTTCCAAAATGAAAGAAACGGGTGGTACCATATGTTGGACCAGGTATGCCTCTTCTCAATATAAATTAAGGTAACCGGTACTTGGAGCTAACGATCGTCATCAACTCGCAGTTGATTCCTATTTTCTTTTAATATGAGGACCTAACTGCGAGTTAACTGACAGTCATGGAAAGAAATAGTTCTAGAAAGAAATACAACAAAGAAATATAAACTATTGAACCTAGTTCGTACCTCTGGATGCAACTGTAACCATGTCCGCAGTAACAGCAAGTCAAGTTAAAACTTATTTTGTTAACGACATTGACTAGCTAATGCGATTACTTCTTTGATAGCGAACTAAATGATGTAATTTCAGGAGAATCGCTTCTTGAAGATTCGCTCAGACGGGAAACTCATTTATGATAGAAGGTTTGTTCCTTGTTGTATAAAAGGCCAAAGTGCGCTCAAATGCAATTATGTCCTCGACTCCTTTGAATGAAGTTCCTCGAGAGATTTTGTTTCCTTTGTGAGAGTAGCTGCTGCCGCTTTCTAAATGCCTCTCGACAATGGGGTTTCACGCTATGCTCTGATGCAATTAGACGAAGGATCGAGTCGCATCTCCAAGTGAAGCAGCAGGAACTTGCAAAGAACTTGGTTGATCCAGAAAATTCTAGAGTGTTTTCAGATTAACACTTCACTTAGCGTGTTCCATGCATTTATCGCGTTATCCAATGGACTCACAATTGTGCGAAATCGCTTTTGCATCATGTAAGTGCAGTTATTCTTTCAAATAAGACATTTTATTTAATAAATTATATCAAAGATGCCTACACCACTGATGACATAAAATATGAATGGGATACGGAGGCTATCCGAATTCATGATGGCGCCAACGGAGCTCTACCAAATTTTGACATCGCTATGTTCAGGAACGGAACCTGCCATTCCAAAACGAATACGGGTATATATCTCTCAAATTTCAGCATTAGCGAAAATCCTCTGATTTTTGAAAATGTTTCTTCCCATTTTTTCAAGTGCAAACAGCAGTGCGACGGAGGTCATTACGATTTCTGCAGGTGTCGATGTAAATACTGTTGTTAAAGCATAGAGCACTTCACTTTAACATTGTTAGAAAAGGGTGATGGATAAAGAGAACTATACTATAAAAATTAACGGGAAAACCTTAGCTCAAACAACTATCAAATGCTTTTCGATCATATACTTAGACAATATCAGGCTTTCTTGAAAAAGTGGAGCCGATACATTTTTGATGTGCACATGTGTGGCGGTTAGTCACTAGTTTCTACAACAATGAGTTGCCGCTTGAAATAAATGTTAAATATGAA